ACGATCGAATGCTGAGTCAGCATTCAGGTACGACCGAGTGCTGAGTCGGCATTCAGTTACAACAGAGTGCTGAGTCAGCATTCAGGTATGACCAAGTGCTGAGTCAGCATTCATGTATGACCGAGTGCTGAGTCAGCATTTAAGTACAACAGAGTGTTGAGTCAGCATTTAGGTACAACAGAGTGCTCACTGCTGAGTCAGCATTTAGATACACTGTACTTAAAACAAAACTCCCTAGAGAAATACATTAATAAAATGGCTTCAATTCGATCAAATTATTATGATTTTAAAATCTGCTTCAGAAAACTTTGTTTCTCTATTTTTATGCTACTTTTAAATTTTGGTTAACATTATCTTTTAGCCACAGCTTTGCTAATTTTAGCTACAGTTGAGCTAATTTAAGTTTTCAGATGCAGTTTAGTCAACGTTTGATTTTATCTATTTTGTTACAGCTAATTTAGATTTTTGAGCTATTTCGTTGATTTTGTTTTAGCTAAACTAACTTTAGCTACAGCTTAAATCATTTTAAATTCTGGTTTGCTAATTTTAGCTTTGTCTGCTGTTTTGAGAAATTTGTTAGTTTTTTTTTTTACTATGGCATAACCAACTTTAACTTCCACTTAGCTTGATTTATGTAGCTATGGTTCTACTCCTTTATGCTTTTAGTTATGTTTGCAAATTTAAGCTTTTAGCTATTATTCAGCTCATATCAGCTACCGTTTTGCCTAATTGCATGTTCTCCTTGTTTTAATTGGAACACATCAGCTTCTAAAGCAAATTTTAGCAGTCAAAACCTACGATTCACATTTTATTTGCTTTAGGAAAACACGAAGGACCGATTTAAATATCAGTTTTTTACTTGAGCTCTTCCACAAGAAAAGTTCAGTCCTATGATTAAATGCATTAACTGTGTGATTTGTTTTAAAAATCAAAGTGAGGAACTTATAAAATCGTTTCTTCCTAAGTTGATATTTTCCTACAACATGACAGCTGTTTTGGCTTCAACTTCCATATTACGTGCCAATATCTAGTTAATAATACTGTTAATGGGATAAACCTATACTTTTTCCTATTTTTGTTAGAAATACATATTTAATTGCCAGTTTTGTAATTAGCTCTTATGTAGGTCAAAGCAGCTGTAGCAGCAGCAGAACTGTGAACTACAACAAACTTTAGTCTCCTAACTTCAGTTCATCTCGTACCTTTCGCGTAAGCTCGAGCTTTCAAACCGGTCCATAAAAACCCGCGGAATTCTCACAGCACGTGACGCCAACACATCCAGGTACGCTTGATGAACAGACCGACTCCTACCGTAGGCTAGCTGGCTAATGATGCGTTCGGTGTCAACCCAGATTTCGGAATTTTTAAAATAAAACCTCATATGATCTCGCAATTCACAACTTTCGCCCACGAGCAATTAACAATAAAACTGTTTTTGTAGATATTTATACTATGGATTATGAAAAATAGTTTGGTTTATAACAGTATAAATCCATCTGAAAAAAAATTCGGTGCACACTTTTTTAGTGAACATTTTATTTTCCATTTCTTAAGTTAACGAATATTGTAATTTATTGATTATATGTTGTTAATTATATTAGACTATTAACCTCAGAGTCGTTATTTTATTACACAGGAGGTCAAATATTATGCGACTTTGAGAAATGATGCGTTTAACTTCCGAGGCGACCCAAATGCAGCATAACCGCATTAGAGATTCCTAGCTAAGAAACGGTTTGTTTTGTTGACAAACAACAAATGTGTTTATAAAATATTAACCAGACAGAACAGTGGGTACGTTTAGATGCTTTAAATATTAGCAGTGGGACAACTCTCAGACTACTTGGTAACTTTAGAGAGTACGGTATTGAATACAACTACATTACCCATCAGCCCCAGCACCTGGATCGTCATAGTGGAGTCGAAAATGGCTGTTCTCCGACCTCTGTCAAGAATCGCCCGGCTTGGCTGCAGCCTCTGTCGGAACCACCGTTTAATATTTAACAGAACCTCGCAGAATCGAGGGATAGCTTCATGCATCGACCGTGAGTTTCAGATAAACTGAACTGTGGGGATAAATTTTAATTTTAATGCAACTTCCGTTACATTTTTAGCTAATGTCAGCGCCCGAACTCAAGTTTTCGACCAAATAAAACGCATTTTACTCTCATTCAGCGCTTTTCCCAGCTGTCATTAGTCAGTTAATCGCTCTTCTTTTCAGATTTACAACAGCAAATGTTTGTTTTAAGCACCTAGTACTTTTTCCGGGCCCTAAGAAGTCCCACCAGATACACAGTATACTGTAGGCTTTGGCAGATGTGGATTAATTTGCTCCTGTTTCAGTTCTGTATGTTTAAACTTCAGGGCCACCGTAGTTCTGTCACTCACTGTTTACATGTTTTGTGGCAGCAGTGTTTGCAGACACTGACTGCCTGTGTGTGTGCTGACCTCTCTCTGCTCCTTGTTGGCAGCTTCTTATGGGCTCTCAGATGAACAGAAGGAGTTTCAAAAAGTGGCCTTTGACTTCGCAGCCAAAGAAATGGCTCCACACATGGCGGAGTGGGACCAACAGGTATGTTCCTCTGCCTCCTACAGAATGAAGCTGAAGATGAACCTGAACTGTATCACATGGTGCAGTTTGAGTTTACTCCAGAAGTTTTTCAGATCTACTGAATGGAAACTCGGTGTAAACAAAGCAGCTGTAGTCTGTGCAGGTAACGGCCTCAGATTAATGTTTGACCAGTTTTCCTGGTTGTTTCTGAAGGTAAACGTGTGCAGTAACGCACAAATTTGGCTCTCAAGTTTTTATTTAATGACACTTTAACCATCGATAAGTGCACATTTTTTATTATATTGTCCGGTCTTCAGGACTTTACAACGAGCACCTTCAAAAACAAACAATTATACTTTGTTCATTTAGAGTACTTTTAGAGATTTTGAGTATTATATATATATATATATATATATATATATATATATATATATATATTTTTTTTTTTTTATAGAAAACTAATATCTTTGTCAGACTTTTTGGGGTTTCTGTAGTTTTCGTTGTTTCTTCCAGCGCTCGGGCTGAATGTACTTTTTATAACATGTTTCTCTTTCTGTGATTTTCAAGTATAATTTTGTCTTTTAGTCACTTCTTTAAAATCATCCATGCTCTTATTTAGTAAAATTATAACCGTTTTTACCGTAGTATTTCTTGGTACCACAGTAACAATCTTAATAAATAAACTCTTAATGCTTTACTCTCCTAAGCGAGTCCTTCTGCTATTGAGGAATTAAACCTTAAATGTGGCTCTTAAAAAGCATTTCTGTTTGAACCAGTTTATTCAAAGTAAAGCAGGTAGTTTTTGCTGTAAATGGAGGAAATTGTAAGTTAGTGATATTTATTTTACAAATTACAGCTTTCTTTGTTTCTTTAACCTGCGGTCAGTATTTAGTTTATGTCTTTATTACTGTTCATTTTGTAAGTTGTCTCTATAAAGTAAACCGTGTTCCTATAAATCAAACTTTTTGTTTGGTACTTTTCCCCCTGCAGGAGTTCTTCCCGGTGGAGACGATGCGGAGAGCCGCCCAGTTGGGTTTCGGTGGGATCTACGTTCAGCCGGACGTTGGAGGATCGGGCCTCTCTCGACTCGACACGTCCGTCATCTTTGAGGCTCTGTCCACTGGCTGTGCGAGCACCACGGCCTACATCAGCATCCACAAGTACAGATCTTTTGTGTTCGGCCGTTATGGGATGTGGAGGGAGTTCAAACGACAGAAACAATGGATCGTTTGTAAAACGGCTGCTTTTGTCGCTCTCTGCAGCATGTGCGCCTGGATGATCGACACTTTTGGTGATAACGACCAGAGGGAGAAGTTCTGCCCTGATCTCTGTTCGATGAAGAAGTTTGCTTCCTATTGTCTTACTGAACCAGGTCTGTCTCCGTAACCATGGTAACACGGTGATGGGACAGGGTAGGCGTCACTAAACCTAAGACGTGTGTTTGTAGGCAGCGGCAGTGACGCCGCTTCACTTCTGACGTCTGCACAGAGAAAGGGTGATCATTACGTCCTAAACGGCTCAAAGGTAAATTAAATCAGCCGATGCGCTCGTGGTTTCAGCTCCTTTAGCTTAGTTTTAACAAACTTGTCCTCTCTTGACTCTTTAGGCCTTCATCAGTGGAGGAGGCGACACAGACGTGTACGTTGTGATGTGCAGAACAGGAGGCAGAGGACCCAAGGGCATCTCGTGTCTGGTGGTGGAGAAGGGAACTCCCGGCCTCAGCTTTGGCAAAAAGGAAAAGAAGGTGCAGCTGTCGCTTGTGAGACATTTCAATCTGCCACTAGATGGCAGCGTTTAGTCAGAAACAACTCTCTGCTCTCCAGGTGGGCTGGAACTCTCAGCCAACGAGGGCGGTGATATTCGAGGACTGCGCCGTCCCCGTCGCCAACCGCCTCGGCAAGGAAGGACAGGGCTTCAGCATCGCCATGAAAGGCCTGAACGGAGGCAGGATCAACATCGGTGAGCCGGATTCGTTTCCCCAGAACTCCCAGCAGATCAGCAGCTGAATCCAAACACGCTGAAGCGACGTATGGATCGTTTAAAGCCTTTTATTCAATTTGAGCTCTGCTCAGACAGAAAATAGACACATCTGAGGATGGGTGCTCCTTTTTTATACCTGCAGCATAAACCAGGTCACCAAAAAAAAAAAAAAAACAAGTTCCCAGTGCTACAAGGTTTTCCTTTCAGATATGACGCATTGTTTTATTTGCAGGTATGTTTATGGAAATTTAACGGCGAGTTTTGCATCTTTAAGAGTTTGCATCAAACGAAGAACTCCAATCATCACTCTACATTTGTCTTGACTAAAACATAAGTTTTATCAAACAAGGATTACAGTCGTCCCTCGATTATCACGGGGGTTACGTTCCACACCCCCCCCCACGATGGGTGAAAAATTGCAAAGCAGGAACGTTATGTTTATTTTAGTATTTACATATATTTTAAGGCTTCCCACACTCTTGCAATGTTCTAAACTCTTAAACCTGCATCATCTTAACAACATACATATATGTACTGTACAGTACTGCAAAATTTTACTCACCAGCTCTGCAGAACAGCAGCTCGGGTCGGGCTCGGTTCCGGTCTGGTTCGGCAGACCTACCCTGCAGTGACGAAGCCCACCGCCCCGTCCAGCTTGATGTGCACGTGGATAATTGAGCTTCAGGATTATTTGTGACTTTCCAGTTCTGTGAACTTAGTTGCAAAACTTTCCATCTATTTCAGCAGAAAGCAGCGGCTGGAAGCACTGTTGGCTTCTGGGTAGTGTAGTTCTTTTGACTGGCCTTACAGTGTAGGCTTATTGAAAGAAAACTACAAAATGGCGGCACCTGTCCGAAGTATTTTATTTCGTTAACTTTTTGTCTCGTACCGTCCCAATCACGTGAGTATTAAAGTTGACAGTCGTGTGTCGTGTACATTGAAAAAACACGAAATAGAGAGTCCGTGAAGTAATGAGGGACTACTGTAATGTTTTTTTTTTAATCTCATAACTAAACAAAAAAACTAAAGTTCCAACAGTTGATTGTAATCGAAGCCGTTAGTGGATGGAAAGTCATATCTCACAATAATAAATATATGAAACACTAAGACCCTTAGGTGGCATGGTGGCGCAGTGGTTAAAGCTGTCTCCTCACAGCAAGAAGGCTGCAGGTTCACCTCCCGATCTTTTCTGAAGTGGTTAAAGAAAATGGATGAACAAAGACGGAGTCTCTTTGATCCTTTTCCCTTCAGCTTCCTGTTCGCTGGGCGCGGCGTACGCCTGCGTGCTGCTCGCCAGCGATCACTTGCTGGTGCGCAAACAGTTCGGAAGGACGCTCGCCAGCAGCCAGGTGAGCCGCTCGCGCCCTTTGGACCAGAAACCAGAGCTGCTCAACCACCTCTTCTCTAACAAACATTTGTTTTGGTCTTTTAGTTTCTGCAGTTCAAACTGGCGGAGATGGCTACGAAGCTGGTGGCGTCTCGCCTCATGGTGCGCAACGCTGCGACGGCGCTGCAGGAGAACCGGACCGACGCCGTCACGCTCTGCTCCATGGCCAAATTGTTCGCCACAGACGAGTGCTTCAACGTGAGTCCTGCAGTCCTCTTCGGCGGGGAGTCTTCCTCTGCTCGCTCCCTGGCAGACATTTAGAAAGGACCGATTCAGGCCCGTAGAACTCTGATCCACGTGAGGTTTGGTTTCATGAACAGATCTGTAACCAGACCCTCCAGATGCACGGCGGCTACGGCTACCTGAAGGACTACGCGGTGCAGCAGTTTGTGCGGGACATCAGAGTCCATCAGATCCTCGAGGGCAAGTCTTTTTGATTTCATCCTGTTGGTGTCGTTTCTCGTCTCAGTCTGACGTTTAGTTTTTTTCCCTAAAGGAACCAACGAGGTGATGAGGATGATTATCGCCCGAAACCTGCTGACCGAGTCCTGAGGGGTCTCCGCTCCCAGACCGGATCAGTTCCTGGGCGGATGCTCCGTAGTTCTGGTCCGCTCAAGTTTTCAGTTTGGAGAAGCACAAACAGGTTTTTGTTACATCAACCGTTACGGTTTTATCTGCAGACTGTTTTTAACACTAAATAGGCTCAGATTTTCAACGAGTCGAGATTTTTGCCTCGACCTCAGATTTATTTACATTTTGTTTTCACTTTTTTTTTTACTTATGATCAGATTCTGCTCAGTGTCAGGAAAAAGCTCAAATTGTGTCCCCACCCACGTGAAAAGCAGTGATCTGAGCTCTCATTAAACTCCATCGGGGTGCGTTTAAGATGTTCTCCAGAAATATAATCCATGTAAAATGGTTCCTATCAGCATTCGGAGCGGTACATTTGTTGCTGATGCTGGAAACATTTATTTCAGCCTTTGAGAATCATGGTACGGGTCAGAAACGGAGAACTAGGCTCGTCAGCAGCGCCATCTACTGGTCAGAAATAATATTTACAGACAAACCAACTGTAACAGACCTGAAGTAGATTTTTAATAAATCCAGATTAAAGATAAAAGTGTCAGAATACTTGACCGAGTTTGACCTCTGAGTTAGGAGAGCACAATAACAAAAAATAATGTTTGTTAACGTTTCACCTCCAATAAAGTCAAGAATTATGTTTAATTTACTTTTTACTTTATTATCCTCCCAAAAATCCATATTTTCTTAATAACAATTTTTTAGAAGATAAGACATTTTTATGTATTGAAGACAAACCTGTTAAAGACTTGGTTTTGTGTTACATTTCAACACCTCCACACCTGTCTCTGAATATTTATATTAAAGTTACTGCAATGACACTTTTGTAACCCTGACTTATGGTTGTAGTCAACAACGTGAACAAATATTGGTTGATTTTTAGGTTTGCTGCCACACTTCAAAATAAAACATCTGGATTTGCTGCTTGATTTCCCTTTAGACGACTCTTCGTTGTGCGAGTGAAAACAATGAAACTCTTCAGATGGGTTTATTAAAATAAAGACTGTCTGCAACAAAAGCTCCACTGAACAACACGTGGCGCTTCTCCACAAAAACAAATCCACTTTATTCGAGCTCAGGTTGTTCTCGTTGGTCTCACGTTTGAAATCGTTTAACCCGAGCACCTGAAACACGATGAACAGCGTCATAATTCAGTTTACATTCAAGCTACTGGAACAAGTAAAACACCCGTTAATTACAGGAGCTCTCGGTTCACAGCCGTAGAGTCGCACCGCAAAAGTCTGCACACCTTTTTATCGAACACGATGCGACTGCGGGTGAAGACCGTGACGCCGTTCCTGAATCATGAGTTTCTGCTCAGAACCCAACGCAGTCAGCTGAAAACTAATCTACTCAGGAGGGTAAAGCCAAAATAAAAAATAACCAAAAGTGTTTATAATGAAGTTATCTTATAAACAATAAAAATTTAGCCAAAACAGATTTCACAATGATTGCAAAAAGTGAATTATCTTACCCGTTGTAGATGACTCTTTGAGTGACCTCGGTTTTGAAAACTAAAGTTTATTTTGGACCAGGTCGATGAGCTATGTGCTAATCTGAACAGACCAAAACCAAAGTGGACTGCTGCCATCTTAAAATAACTTAAATCTTAAAAATTGCAACAAAAAAACAAACAAACAAAAATAATCTGTTTTATATTGAGGCTGCACAATATATCGAAGATATCGATATCACAATATCAGTGTGCGCAATATCAATAACGCAAAGGATTAAAAAAAAAAACCTAAACTGCGTGCAAAATAATACTAACTTAATCAAATGGACCCCTTATCTTCTAAATCCCCAAAGCCAGTGCACTGGGAGTGATGGGAATATTGTAAAACAGAACATGTGGATTTATTGTAATATTCCACAATAATATTGCATCTTTTCCTAATATCAGCAGTCCTACTATACATCCCCATCAGTTTCACCTCACGCTGTTATTCAGGCAGAAATAATATAATTTCCCTGACGTAAATACTCCAGTCTGCACCGAAAGTGCTACAGCTAGCTGCTACTGCTGTTTCCACTTGCAAATAACCACAGAATTTAATGTAAAGTTTGATAAAAAAAAAAAAAAAAAAAGCATTCGTTTAGACGAGATGAAGTTGTTGATGCAGGAGTTGCTTTACGATCATATTTCTCTAAAAACAGATTGTTCGAGTTATCTAATACAGGTAAGATGTTGTTTACAAAGTTTCTACAGAACCCTTTTAATAAAGATCTTAACGATCCCTTTACCAATGTTGGACTTTTATTTATTTTTTTGTAATGAACCGTTTTCAGGCTAATGAAGATTTCTCCACGGGGAGCATGAACGCATCAAACAAAAAAATAACAGCTGAAAAGAAGCCGAACCTCTTCAACGTGTTGATTTTTTTTAACAACCCAAAGGAACAGTTTGGGTAAACGAAGACACTTGCGAGACATTGTCAGAATGTCTCTAGTCTGTATGTCCTCTCCACCTTGTGGTCTTCTCTCTGTCCATCAGACACGTCTCTGCTAGCTACACCAGTGACCCGGCTTGGCTCTGAGCTGGCACCATCACAGCCACTGTTCCCACTCGAGTCAGCGTGGAGGAGCTGGTCTGTGGGGACGCAGTGAGTGGAGGGCCCACCTGAGGCTGAGCCCCCTCTGTCCTTTTGTGGAAGCCAGCCGCAGGGCTTCCGAGGACCTGCGGAGGAGCCCCATTCGTACTGGGAGGCCTCCGGTGTTTCCGTGTTGGCGTGCCTCCAATGTTGTAACCGGGAAGCCCCTGCAAGCTGTTGGCCTCTCCGGGTCGCAGGTGGTAGGCGTGGATCACGGAGCCTGTGTCGGACGCCGACATGGGGGAGTACGGGTACCGGAAGTCAGGCTGACGAGGATCTTGTGAGCGAGGGCTGGTGGCTATGGAGGACAATGTGCCGTTTTTAGACACGTTGTCAGAGCCGGTGTTGCTCTTCGCCCACGATACTCGCTTTGGTGCCTGAGCGTCCTCCCTGTGGAGGAAGAACTGTTTTCAGAATCTTTCACCTGGCAACAAGTTATTTAACTCCAACTGGTGCAGTGAGTTGCTTCTCAATTCTTAAACAACAATGACTAAAGACACATTGTGTGGTCTTGGAAAAGATGTCAGTCTGTTTGAGAAGGGTCAAATCACTGGCATCAAGCAGAGAAAACATCTAAGGAGATTGCAGTAACTACTAAAACAGGGTTAAGAACTGTCCAACGCATTATTAAAAACTGGAAGGATAGTGGGGACCCATCGTCTTTGAGGAAAAAATGTGGCTGGGTAAAAAAAGTCCTGAATGATCGTGATCGGTGATCACTTAAACGTTTGGTGAAATCAAATCGAAGAAAAACAACAGTAGCACTCAGGACTGTGTTTAATAGTGAAAGTAAGAGCATTTCCACACGCACAGTGTAAAGGGAACTCAAGCGACTGGGACTGAACAGCTGTGTAGCCTTAAGAAAACCACCAATCAGTGAGACTAACTGGAGCAAAAAGGCTTCAATTTGCTAGGGAGCATAAAGATTGGACTCTGGAGCAATGGAAGAAGGTCATGTGATCTGATGAGTCCAGATCTACCCTGTTCCAGAGTGATGGGTGCATCAGGGTAAGAAGAGAGGCAGGTGAAGTGATGCACCCAAATTGCTTAGTGCTTAGTCATCAATGCAAGATCTTGGTGAAAAAATTTATGCAACACTGGAAGAAAATAGATCTTGTGATGTTGCAGAAGCTTATCGAATCAATAACGCAGTGAATGCATGATGTAATCAAAGCTAAAGGTGGTCTAACAAAATATTAGTGCGTGACTTCTTTTTTGGTGGCGACTTATTTTTGGCCAGGCGGTGTATCTCCTCTTAAGCCTTTTTGTCTTTTTCCTGGCAGCTGCATTTCTAACATCCTTCTACCAGTATACCCACTGTCCCTCCTCTGGACATGTCCAAACCATCTCAGTCTGGTCTCTCTAACTTCATCTCCCAGTTGTTCAACCTGTGCTGTACCTCTGATGACCTCATTCCTAATCTTATCCATCCTTGTCATTCCTAAGGACCTGAACATCTTCATTTCTGCCACTTCCAGTTCTTTCTCCTGCCTTTTTGTCAATACCACTGTCTCCAGACCATATAACACAGCTGGTCTCACCACTGTCTTGTAAACTTTTCCTTTGACCGTTGCTGACACCCTTTTGTCACAAATCACTCCATCCTGTCTGTACTCTCTTCTTCACCTCTACCACACTCGCATTCTCCAGGACAGTGTCATGTCATGAAACTCTTACTTGATCTCGTTGGCCATCTCCTCCTCCGTGTCCCGTCTCCTCCTCAGAATGAATATGAGGAGGAGCACTATGGCCACCAGTCCCACCACTGACCCCAGAGTCGTCGCAGCGATTACCCCTGCATTGGAAGCTGTTAAAACAACAGAATCAGCATTTAGACACAGGCCCAGCTGCATTGTGGGTAACAGTAGAGCGTGTGAACGTACAGGTGACGACCTCCAGGTTGATGGAGCAGCTGTCGGAGCCAGCTGTGTTGCTGGCTCGGCAGATGTACTTTCCTGACATGCTCTTGGTGAGGTTGCTCAGCCTGAGGGTGCCGTGTCTCTCATCTGCAACACAAGCTCATCATTAAAACACAAACACTTTAACGCAACGTTACACAAGTCGTGGGAACTAGAACAGGTCAACGGCGAATAGGTAAAGCATAAAATTACACCAACTATTTTAGCAAGGAGTGTGTTTGCATTGGTTTCACAATTTGTTATTTTTGACTCGCATGGCTCCAAAATTCTGTTACAAACATCGGCTCCAGAAAAACAAACAAGCTTCACGAGGGACTTATCACGACAAATCCTCTGAAATCCAATCTTCGACGTCACGCCGCAGCATGTTTTCATCTCATGCGGTTTTGTTTTTGTGGCAACATGAATAAACGACATGTGTTTTCGTTCCGTGAAATCGCTCCTCTGTTTGCGTCTGTCAGATGGCTGTGTTGTTGTTGTTGTTTGTGTTTGTTGGTTGGTTGCTCTCTACACTGAGTCAATCCCCCCCCCCCACCCCCCCAGCGACAAAAGTAATGCAACCCAGGAACTCATCCAAATTATCATCGCAGATAAAAAGTCAAGGTTCGCAATGATGCCAGCAAACAACATATTAAGCTTCCACACAGCTGCTGTGTTACCAAACTTCTGATGAATGAAGGGCAGCAGAGCTTTGAGTTTATCTGCACCATCTGATAATGGAATCTAAGGAAGTTACATTTATCCACATAATCTGTATATATATATATATATATAAAAAATTAAAGTACGTCTGCTAAATCTGTTTCAAAGGAATTTCTTTTTTTTATATATATATATTTTGGATGAATAGTTTGCCTCACTTCCTGGAGGTGTTTCACAGTGTTTCTGTGGTCTTTGGCAGCTTTTTAATTTATTTCTGTATATCCAACAACTTTCAGTCAGGTCATCTGGACAGTTTTTTTTTTTTTTTTTTTGTGTGTGTGTGTGTGTGTGTGTGCTGAAACGTTTCACCTTCCATCCAGAAGGCTTCATCAGTCAAGGAAACGCACAACACAAAACTGATTCTTCCCCCAAACAGCTTACTCCAAAGTGGAACAAACCGGTTATGTTGGTGCTAAGATCCGGAGACCCCCCCCCCCCCCCCCCACACACACACACACACTTGAGTAGAACTAAATAGAAACAAAGCAATTAGAGCTGTACTTAACAGTGGATACCACCAGCAGCTTGTCACAAAACAACTTGTTCCCTCAATTTGTTGCTAGCCAACTATCAATTTTCTAGTTATGAAATTTTAATAGCAACTTTGATACCAAGTTTGGCACGCCCCCTCCTCCGGTGCCGGCCCTTTTCCTCATCGACAGTCATGTAAAACTGGTTCAAAACCAACAAAGTCCATGCTCAATGATCCAGGTGTACAATCCAACAATTTTCAGTCAGGTCATCTGGACAGTTTCTTTGTTGCGTTTTTTTTTTTTGTGTGTGCTGGAACGTTTCACCATCCATCCAGAAGGCTTCATCAGTTTTGTGTTGTGTGTTTCCATGACTGATGGAAGCCTTCTGGATGGAAGGTGAAACATCCATCCATCCATCCATTATCTTTACCCGCTTATTCCATTTTGGGTCACGGGGGTCGCTGGTGCCCATGTCCAGCAATCACTGTGCGAGGGGCGGGGTACACCCTGGACAGGTCGCAAGTCCATCACAGGGACACATAGAGACAAACGAGACAAACAACCATTCACTCTCTCACTCACACCTAGGGACAATTTAGAGTTACCAATCAGCCTAACATGCATGTTTTTGATCTGTGGGAGGAAACCGGAGCACCCGGAGAAAATCCACGCATGCACGGAGAGAACATGCAAACTCCATGCAGAAAGGCCTCCGGACCGGGATTTGAACCGGGGACCTGCTCGCTGAGAGGCAGCAGCTCTACCAGTTAAGCCACCATGCTGCCCTAAATCTATAGTAGTATAGTAATTTGACTGATGCTGAGTCATTGCGAGCCAAGTAAAGCCACGCTCGTGGAAAAGGGGCTATAGCTATCAGATGATGCTAAATAGCAAATAACTAGCTAGCTAGCATTTAACAAATTATGTGCCTGTGACAGACTATCAAATCAAGTTTAAATTTAGTTTAGCAAGGTTTTAATAATTTTATGTTTTTATTTACTTACTATTTTCTCTATTATTAATGAGTGAAAATAGCACATGTTCATGGAGTCTCCATCATGACCCGTGTGCATTCGTTAGTAGAATCTTTCTTGACCACTTAATGAATTTTAATGAAACTCTCTGGCTTTTAATAATAAATGTTAAAAAAGTGAAAATACAGAAGTTCTTGGTGCAGAGGGGGTCAGATTAATTGTTTTAGGATTCTCTTTCTGCTATTTGCAGATGATGTGGTTCTTTTTGTGTCATGGCGCCGTGATCTCCATCACTGGATCAGTTCACTGCAGAGTGTGAAGCTTGGGGTTTGGCAAAGAATTAGCCATCTTTGAGACTTTGAGGACAAAGAGATCAAAAAGACAAAAAAAATCATGGACCCTGAAATGGATTCTATATTCTTTAACCTGATGTCTGAAATTACCACTGCACCAGATTATATCCTATACCAATTTATCCCAATTGGGATAAAACTGTCTGGCCTTCTGTTGAGAAAGATTACTTCTCTCAAAGTTCAATAGGATCATACCCACTCGTCATTGTTAATCTAAAATTATGTCAGAGAGATAAACAACAATTACCAGAAAATCCCAAAGACAACACTTGTGCATGAGTGTGCACTGCCCCTGTTCACCTCTGATTGTTTAATCCCTTTGACTTGAAAACCAGCTGTGACAGTTCTGACAGATTAGCAGAAAGTCAGCGGATTCCGATCTTGGAGCGGGTTCTAGCCTGATCAGATCACAGCGGTGTCAAAGTTTCAGGAGATGTAATGTAACAGAAGGTGCTACTTTCACTTCAAGACAGTGGCATTGTGTTGCAATTACAGGTTTTCTACACACCATGTAGCACACATGAAAACATACATTACTACAAAAAGTTGTTGGATGCAACAGGACAGCACAAAACTCATTTGCCCAAATTAGGATCAGTCTGTGGAAAAGCAGCCTCAGAGAAGAAAACGATAATGTAATGTCTCGACTGACATTTTCATTAGAGCCTGCGTTACATTTTTCATGCATTTGAGCTATAGGTTCAGGAACAATACCTTTGCGATCCACATACAAAAACAAGCCCATGACATCACCTCCAGACTTACATTTTTTTTTTCCTGGTATCACATTTCCCTAGACATTTCTACCTTCATCCTACTTCCCAGGAATCCTTTAAGAGTAGGAGTTGATGCCGTGACCTTTCCATAAATTCATCACAATTTGTCTTTAGCCAGAATCTCTAAAATCCTTAGTCTTGACCATGTTTTAATCTCCTTTTAACACATCTGCTTCCAAGATTACAACAACCTTAATGTTTTTCCAACTGTCACTGGACATAATATATTCAGTCTTGTATGTCCAAAGGTATTTTAAATTTTCAGACTTTAGGTTGAACAACACTCAATGTCCAATTTGAAAAGTTTACAGAATAGTCTGCAGTTCTTTCTACCTAGATTATTGAGAATGAATCATGGTAATAGTCTGCAGTGTGACATCACATATCTTTATTTATTTGTTCAAAAATAAACTTAACCTGCAACAAAACCCAGGTAGCTAGCTAGGAACCTAGCTTTTTGTGCAAGTAGCATGTAGCTAGTTTCTGATGCAAACAACTAAACAACTAAACTAACTTTTAAGTTTTTTTTTTCACTTTATTGTACACAAACTACATTGCAGCTAACAAGATTTCAATGTGAATTAGAAGATTTCTTTTCCTGTTAAGACAAAGCTAGCTTTGCTGTTTGCTACCGTCTCTGGCTAAGCTATGCTAAACAATTAGCTTAATTACAGACATGAAAAAAGATTAACATTTTCTGTAAAGCTTAGCTAAAAATTCGTAGTTTAAAATTGAGTATATTTTTATTATATTCCTTTGCAACTGTATTGGTGAATACCTTATAAATAATATATATTAAAAAAAACAAAACAATAACATTCATATTAAAAGTGATTTCTTAAGTAACTTATTCAACCGTTCAGATTCGATTTTTTTTATGACGAAAACAAAGAAATAAGAAACCTAAGATATCTAAAACACACACAAAATATCCAAAGAAAAACCATTAAATTCATGTTCTGCTTAAATAAATCACAGTGAATGCAATAAATTGACATCTAAATCTAACACTATATGTACTATAAAGATTTAAAGGACAATTTTAACCCAATTTCACACCAATTGTGAATAGATACAACTTTTTACAGCTTGTGAAGCAAGTTTTTAGAAAAACAATGTAAAAGATCTGTTGATTATTCCCCAAAAGTTAAATAAAAAATAAAATCAAATGAGACGTGAATATTTATAATTACTGTATTTAAGAAAAAAATGTCTAAACTGACAACTAGTGGTTCATTATGGTAATCATTTCAGGAATATTATCCTCTCAGCATTTTTAGAAATTGGGTTGATTTTTTTTCCTTTAAATCTTTTCTATGGGTCAACAAATACAGTTTTCACAGCAGAAGATGTGATTCCTCAAGATATTGAGGACTGCAGGTGAGGGTAGGATGGGTAAACAAGTGGAGAATGTATGAGTGAAAAACCTTACCCATGAACCCAAGGACAAGCAAGGGCTGGGGACAGGATCGCCATTCTGAGGTTTTGTGCAAAAGAAAAAAAAAATGGCAGAAAGAATGCAAGCGTGAAAAAGAGGTAGGGATGGAAGGGTGCAAATTAATAGGAAGAGGACAAAAGAGCAAAATGGTGTTTTTAGTCCCAAATCCAAATTATGCCTTTAAAGGGGCTGATTAGGTAATGACATGGGGCTTGTTAGAGAGGGTCAACAGGACGTGAGGAATATAAGAGGATCAACAAGGCAGACAGACAGAGGTATTGCCGAAAGAGATAAGCAGTGATGGCAGAGTAAAGTTCAAGAGTTAGCATCAGAGCAGATAAAATCACAACATTTGAATTTGGGTGGAAAAAGCCATGGTAGGACGAACATAAGCACGTAATGAGGGTGTAAGTGAGCATTCAGCTCTACAAAAGCCCGAGTTAATGCACAATCAGAGGGAGTAGTTTTCATCTCATGAGTCTGGGGACGTTTCTGCCATAAAGAGATGAAAGCCACGGATCAAAGCAGTTAAGTCAATACGCAATCAATCACTCTTAAGTCCCGTTGTTCCGTGACAGATGGTGTTTTCTGCAGCATCGTTTCAAAATAAACTTCTATATAATACCGCAAGACATGCTTTTTTTTTTTCTTTCTTTCAAAAGCAGCACTTTAAGAGGAGGGAGTTGTGGGTCTCCAACTGGGGAGAGGATTTCATGCTGTATGTTATGAAAAATTGAGGATATTTCTTTGAGGTAAATTTGGGGCATCCTCAGCTGCGGGCAAAATTATTCAAGCCCTTATCATGCAAGAGCTTATTCCAGTGTTCTGTATAAGACGTAATGAAACTTGCACGTATTGTAGATTACAGTCAAAAACAGTTTGATGGTTAATCTTTTAGAATCAACAGAAATAACCTGGATGGTTTTTGTTCTTTCCATTGTATACAAGGATGGAGTTGGTGTAGGTAAGATAAAGGTACCGGTAGTCATTTAAACCCATCATTACTCAGATATAAATCATATGAATGCTGTCTAGGACTTCATCCTCACAGGAAAAAAAAAAATAATCTGATGTAATTTTTGAGAATATCCTGGTAAAAAAAAATAGCACAGTTTCTAGAAACGTCTTCATCCACACGGAAACACTGAAAACAACCCAAAAAGCTGTAGTAACTATGCCATATAGCGCTGTAGCACTGCCATGAAATCACAACAAAAAATGGAAAGCAAGCTGTGGAGAATGAGCATAAAACTGTGTACAAACAAACTGTAAACAAAATAGGAAGAAGACAAAACCCTCAAGTTACATTAGAAGTTGGGTTATGACATCATCATTTTCAAAAGGTTGCGTTTTGGCCATCTACATTAAAACGCCTGTTGTCAAAAAAGTACAGTTTTTGAGTAGAAGCAAGCCTGAAACAATAATTCTTTGAGTTTTCACAAAAAGCGTTTTCATGTGGATGGCCTCTAAAGCAAAATGTAGTTGTTTATTTTTAACAAACCTCATTTCTTTCCCCATATAACTTTTTACAGCAAGCCAATACCCAATGTTTCACAATGCATCAATTTCACACCACACAACATGTTACAGAATGGATATTGCAAGCATAAACAGCTGCAGTAACAGCTAGCTGTAGCACTTCCAGCTCAGTCTGTGAGGCTTCCTGCAGGAATATAATAATATTTATGCCAGAATAAACGTGTGATGCAAAACAAACTGGATTTAACTCATCAGTATGGTCGGAATTAAAATATTTCTTCTAACTGAAATTGTTTAGAGGATCATCTGCAACAGGTAAGATATTGTATATATCATTTCTACAGAACCCCTTTAAAAAATCTGAACTATTCCTTTAAAGCTGCGCATTATGCTGCAAGATTAGTATCGGGAGAAACATAAGTTTATTATATATTTACAGTGCAAGTTCCTGCTGATTTTATGCACGATTGATGAAAAATAATGAGATTTTGTCAATATTTTATCACATTTTATGGTCCATTTGTTTCATAACCATCTTTAGACAAAGCTTACATCTTTTTACACACATCAGAGCACAAACAATCTGCACAGCACAGACTAACTAAAGTAGTTGCTTCTTGTGCTCACCCAGTTGCATTTATGGTGAGAAGTATTTTAAATGCATGTCCCGGAAATTGTACTTTTTCAACCACTTGGTTTATTTTGCTGCCAAATTCAGCTGAACACTGAAGAGTGAGTATTTTTAAGCAAAAACTCACCAGAATTTCTGCTGGAATAAAAAAAAGAAACGGTAATTCTTTGTCCACAGCATTGCAGTACTGCACTAACAGTGAGAAAGTACTGTGTGGATCAAGTATTTCTCCCATGTGATAAACTCACTTTGCACAGGTGAGAAGAAGACCTCAGACAGGGGTGCAGCTTTGGTCCATTTGTACTGAGGGACAGGTTTTCCATGCTGGGACCTGCAGCTCAGAGTCACGTTGCCTTTCACCACCGGGTTTCCCATCAAGCTGCACTCCGGAGGCGAGGGAGGAACTGAACAGACAGAGAAGGTTATTGATTCATTCCTGAACATGCAGTTCTAATCCACAGTGACTTCTCAGGGCAGCGGCCAGATTATTTAAAAATTAAGCAGATATTGGAACCTCTCCTCTCCTCCCCTCCTTGCGAGTTTCCATCTGCTTCTGGAAGATGACATAATTCTCTCGGAGCTCAATGAATCCCTTAACAGCAGATGAGCTTTATTTGGACCTGTAATATTTTTTTTCAACAGAATCCCTCAGTATGCCCAGATTCTACTTGGCCTGAACTCACAAATCCCCAAAAACGTACGACAAAGTTGCCCTGCCTGTCTTTCCCAATTATGTTTAACCTTCGAAGGTCATCTCACGCCCTGCGGATGGCGTTACCTTTGACGTTAAGCCGCATCTCTCCGGTCAGGCCCTGCTCTCCGGGGACGATGACGTGGCACATGTAGTGACCGGAGTCGGTTTCCTGGGTGTTGTTGATGTAGATGGAGAGGTTGGCTGAGGGCATGGCCACACTGAAGCCCACTCTCTGGGTGAACTCGTTTTGTCCGTGTCCGACTTTACCTGAGCTGAAGTTTATCACCTGTCCACAGAAAACACATTAAAGGGACAGTTCAGACCATTTCACTAGATTTTAAGAACAATTTCAAACAATATCTTACCTGTTGCAGATAACTCTCTAAACAAGTTTGGAGGAAGAGTTTGATTCTGACCAGACTGATGAGCTAATGGCTAGTCAGACCAAAGAATATTGAAGCAGAATTATATTTTGCACCAGAAGTGCTACAGCTAGCTGCTGCTCTACTCCAAGTTCTTGACTTTTAATCTACTTATAAATACTTATTTTGTTCAGTCACAGCAACTTTAAAAAAAAAAAAAAACCTTTCTTTAATTATTGTTTTTATTGTCTTGGCTTTACCAATCTTTAGGTTGTAGATTTCATGTTTTTATTATTTATAGATGAGATGAGGATCAGGAACTCCAAATCTGAGGTCATGGTCCTCAGTCGGAAAAGGGTGGATTGCTCTCTTCGGGTCGAGGGTGAGGTTCTGCCTCAAGTGGAGGAGTTCAAGTATCTCGGGGTTTTGTTCACGAGTGAAGGAAGAGTGGAGTGTGAGATTGACAGACGGATTGGTGCAGCATCTGCAGTATTGTGGACTCTGTGCCGGTCTGTTGTGGTGAAGAGGGAGCTGAGCTGTAAGGCAAAGCTCTGTTTTTTTTTTTTTTGTTTGTTTGTTTTGTTTTTAACAGACGTAAAATTGTTTAAAAAATGGAATTTTGTAAATAAAGTTTGATATGAATATATTAGATTTGTTCTGCAGTAATGAGGATGTTGCTCCAGTCTGTCAACATTAAGGAACTGAGATGAAAAGCAACACTCTTAATTGACAAATCTGTCCAAGTTCAACTTAACCCCAAAATAAATAAATAAAACTAAAACTTATAATTGGAAATAGAAGGCGATATAAAAGTTTATAAAATAGTCTTCACACAAACATCTATAACATTGTTGAGAGCAGAATTGTTTTAAGACAACATCTACAAACATTTTGGTCTTGGCTTTGTTCAGACTAGCCATTATATCATAAATCTGGACAAAATTAAGCTCAATTTCTTCAAACTGAACCTGTTCTAACAGCTACCTACACCAGGTAAGATATTTAAAGTTTTTAACCTCTCTACACAACTCTAAAGGCGGCTACAGTTTCAGCAAGAGACCATGTCACAACTTGTTCTCATTCGTGCAGTTGTGTAACAAAAGTTACATGTTTTAGTTCTTGCACTGCCTCTGAGAACTACTTCTGTACACAAGCAGCTGGCAGAACTTTATTCTTGTGTGGGTGTGCAAGTCATGACTTTGTGGGCGTGTTTATGTGGAAACGTGGCTACAGGCCACTGCTCTCACTTCACTTCAACTGCTCCGCTGAGGAGCTGTTGGCCGAGGCTGTAAGCAAGCACTGCCAACTTTACAATGGTTTCAGCAAAACTTACAAAGATAGATCTTATAAAGGTAGATAAAGAACTCCTAGAAGGAAATAGCACCTTTTTTTTGCACAAAGGAGACAATGCAGAGACCGTCTTTGTAGTCTGACCAGGAGGGAGTAAGCCTCAGATGGGTAGCATAGGGACAGTTTCCCGCATCGTCTGTCAGAAATGGTGGCGGCCTCTTTCATGACTTCTTCTTTTTCTTTTGGTTGTTCCCTCTTTAGCGGTTACCACAGCGAGTCATCCTCCTCCATCTCACTCTTTCTTCTGCATGCTCTGTCTTCAGTCCAACTACCTCTATGTCCTCTCTAATGGTGCTTTCCACTGTCAACTCATCGGTTCCGCACCACAACGCACTGCACTGGTTAAAGGCCTGCCCATTGCCAGTACCCACCCCCAGTCAGCCCAGTTTATGGGACAACCTTGTTTATGGTTCCAAGCGAACTGCTCCGATGTGACGATTTTGACGTAAGCAGACAGCAGCCGTTGATTGACCTGTTATGATACCACCCACTCTGCATTGACAATCCCGCCCACAGAGTGTGGAAACAAGTCGCAGTGGCACGTCACCTACACCTGAGAAGAACCGATAAGACGAGGGCCAAGTGGAGTCGCACTCATTAATGGAAAAGCGGCTTAACTCTATCCATATATCTCTTCTTTGGTCTTCCTTTTTGTAGTATTCCTAACATCCTTCTACCAGTATACCCATTGTCCCTCCTCTGGACATGTCCAAACCATCTCAATCTGGTCTCTCTAACTTTATCTCCCAGTTGTTCAACCTGTGCTGTACCTCTGATGATCCCATTCCTAATCTTATCCATCCTTGTCACTCCTAAGGAAAACCTCAACATCTTCATTTCTGCCACTTCCAGTTCTTTCTCCTGTCTTTTTGTTAATGTCACTGTCTCCAGACCATACAACATGGCTGGTCTCACTACTTTCTTATGAATCTTTTCTTTGACCTTTGCTGCCATCCTTTTGTAACAAATCACTCCATCCTGTCTGGACTCTCTTCTTTACCACACTCTCCCATTCTCCAGGACAGTATTGTGTCATGAAACTCTTACTGGAGATCCTTGGCCATTTCCTCCTCTATGTCCCGTCTCCTCTGCAGCATGAATATGACGAGGAGCACCATGGCCACCAGTCCCACCACTGATTCCAGAATCATCGCCATCATGCATTGGAAGAAGACTAACATTTCTGTTCCTGCTGAGCTGCTCCCACAAAACACTTTGACTTTAATGCATATTTTCATTGAACCAGTTTCGATAGGGTTTGCTGCAGCCACGTGAAGATGTGCAGATTAACAGCAAAAACTGACATCCGTGAAGATTATCCCTAATGTACAGATGGTGAAATTTTAGGCTGATTTTCTTTTTGAGATAAGCCCAGAGGCATCACACTCTGAAATCGTTTAGGTTAGATTAATCATGTAAACTCACACAGACACACATACTACACGTGTAAATGTGTATGGTTGGTGTCACATGGAAATAATGCAATACAAACTATTAAAACAACTCATGGTGAGTCCTTTTTTCTATTCATCAGGTTTGAATTGGACAAGATCAATGTTCATGGAAAAATCCAGACTGATCTAACAATTGAAGGATAAATAGACTTTATGTATTTCTGAGGTTTTCATTGAGCAAATGGAGGACTGCAGGTAAAAAATTGTATCACAAAAACTCATTTTCTATTTTTAACAAGTATTATGCAAAATCTGGTCAGTTTGTAGTTTTAGACAAGCTTTTTTTTTTTGTATTCAATGAATTTTATGATAGTACTCAAGAGGATCAGCAAAAGCAGTGTGTTTTATTGTTAAGTACTTTAAAGTGGCTCTTTTTTCTGCCCAAAGAGAGGTCAGAACAGGGACAGCCGTACCACAGGGCTGGATGATGAGCCGGGTAAACAAGTCGACACCCTGAGATTAAATTTACTACTGAATTCATAAAAATCATAAAGTTGCAAAGGAAAATGAAAACATTCTAAATAGTTATTGTTGACACAAATTTACTGGACTTCTTTAGGTTAAAAACCTATAGACACAGTTATTCATGATAAATTTAGGTTGTTTTCTTGTTTAAACTTGCATCATTTTCTTTCAGAAACGACTGTTTTATGTAAATATGGAATTAGTTACAAGTTTTATAACGTTCACATTTATTTGTGTTTAATAATGTGTTCAACATAATGGCTCTTCATCTAGCTATCTAACGGTCACCAATGGTGTGCCACAAGGCTCAGTTTTAGGGCCCACTCTTTTGACAATTTATATAAGTAATGTAGGTCAAAACATTCCTGATGCATCGTTGCATCTTTATGCTGACGATACAACTGTTTATTGTCGAGCTAACAGAGTTGAAAAGGTTTTTCAGTTTCTACAGTCTGCATTTGACACCATTCAGTCAAACTTACCATATTCAAACTCAAACTGGTGCTAAATGCAATAAAACCAAAGGGATGTTGTTTTCAAACAGAAAGTTGGTGCCAGCAGCTCCTCCTCCTATCTCATCCATGCATGGTGTTCCTATTGAGTTTGTAGATTCTTACAGATACTTGGGAATTTTGGTCGATGCACATCTCTTTTAAACTGCATATCGAAAACTTGATAAAGAAACTGAAATTAAAAGTGGGTTTCTTTTTCACAAATAGATCTTTCTTAACTCTGAATGCCAGAAAATAAAATACCTTGTAGCTGTTACTTTCCTACCAGCCATTGACTATTGTGACATTATTTACATGAATGCCCCTGCCAGCTGCTTGCAGATGTTAGATGTTGTCTACAATGGCACACTAAGATTCATAACTGGTTGTAACTACCGTACCCATCACTGCACTCTACTCCTTGGTCAGTTGGTCATCATTATCTACACGTACGCTCTCACACTGGTTCAATTTCATATATAAATCACTCCTTGGTCTGCTGCCTTCTTATTCCTCCCACATGTCACGTCATCAGTGCAGTTACAACATGCGCTCTCAGGCCATCATTACCTGCAGCGTCCCCTCATCGTGGACTGAACTTGGCAAAAAAGCCTTTTCCTACTCTGCTCCTGGAACACCTTGCAACAGGAACTGAAGTTGCCCACATTTATTTATTTAGGGGAGTTTAAACATTTGATAAGGTCATTTAATTTTTTTTATTTTTATTTACCCTTTATTTATACAGGTTAGTCTCATTGAGGCACAAGAACTCATTTTCAAGAGAAACCTGTTTAGGGAGCAGATGGTGGGGGTTGAGGGCCTTGCTCAGGGGCCCAGAGTGGGGCAAATGAGGGTGGAGAGAGGTGTGGGTGTTTCACCTTTTCCACCCACATTTTGATGTTGATGGTACCGGGAGTTGAACCTGTGACTTTCTGATCACAGGCCCATCTTCTAACCTCTGCGCCACCACTCCCCCAATAGAAACATCAAAGCAAAAGTGTTCTTGTTTTTAGTATTTTACCTTGTTTTATATGGCACCTTGATTTAATGTTTTATAACATTACTTTTATTTTAATTGAATTTTTGCTGTAGTTTATTGTTGTCTGTATTTTATATGTTATCTGCCTAAAACGGGACTGTCTTGTAAATGAGTCCGCGTGACTCAATGAGACTAACCTGTGTAAATAAAGGTCGAATTAATAAAACTACGTGTCTTCAGCTTCAGATCATGAACATTTCTGGATCTCCTCACCTGCTTGGACTCGTTGCGCGTGAACTGCCAGATGACAGAGTTTAGGGAAATGTCAGAGCTCGGGCTGTACCAGGCCTGGAGCACCACCATCTGACCCTTCACCACCTCCATCTCTTTGCTGGGCATCTCCACCTTCTTAGTGTCACCTGGAACAGAAACACAGACGGGCCGGGCTTTAGAAACAGCTCAAAACTGCTACGTAGAAGCACAGCAGCCTGAATAATTTAGATATAAAATACACTATTATAGGACTGGGCAATATATTGAGAGTTCAAAATATATCCATATATTTTCCATACAGAATCGTACATATCAATTTAGTCTATGTTGCGTTATTAATTATACTTTAGATCAGCCAATTTGTCTTTCTCTTCTCCCCATTTGTCAGCCAACAATTATTTAATTTTTTTATTTTTTTATTATTCTTTATTACATTTATTACATTTTGGCGGGCTGTTGATAAATGAACCAGTCTCTGAGAAATCCTGAAAATGTTTCTATTTATTTTTTACTTTGTCAGAGTTGTTTCAAACACGGGCAGCACGGTGGCGCAACTGGTAGAGCTGCTGCCTCTCAGCGAGCAGGTCCTTGGTTCAAACCCCGGTCCAGGGGCCTCTCTGGGTGGAGTTTGCATGTTCTCTCCGTGCATGCGTGGGTTTTCTCCGGGTACTCCGGTTTCCTCCCACAGACCAAAAACATGCATGTTAGACTGATTGGTAACTCTAAATTGTCCCTAGGTGTGAGTGAGAGAGTGAATGGTTGTTTGTCTCGTTTGTCTCTATGTGGACCTGTGATGGACTTGCGACCCGTCCAGGGTGTCCCCCGCCCCTCGCACAGTGATTGCTGGACATGGGCACCAGCGACCCCCGTGACCCAAAATGGAATAAGTGGGTAAAGATAATGGATGGATGGATGTTTCAAACGCTCCCCTAAATTCCCAGTCACTTTACTACACTTTAGCATTCCTTCGTAGGAAAAATCAACTCATTGAAATCCATTATAAATGCATTTTTTTGATCTCATATTTATCATATAAAATAATGCATGCCTTACAGTTTTTTTTTTATTGCCTCTATCCCTCCACTTTTGATTTTTTATATCAACCCACTAGTGGTGCTCTGCTTTCACATATGAGAGATGCTGTAATAACGCTGGGCAGGATTCATGAAGCCTTTACTGCTGCAGGTTGTCGTGAGCTTGTCCGAAAAATAAATAAATAAATACATTTTAAAAAGGTTTTAGATTGGCTGTAAAAAACAAAGATGTACCTGCATTGTTCACAACTAAACATTTGGTATAAGACAGTTGATCCACATGTAGGCCTGTCACGATAACAAATTTTGCTGGGCGATTAATTGTCTCAGAAATTATTGCGATAAACGATAATATTGTTTGAAATTTGACAATTAGTAATTATTGTCAAATTTTAGAAGAAATGTTGGTTAATTTGTTTGGAGTGATAGTGGATAGAAGACCTTTTTTTGGACCACCGGATGGCAGTATAAGACTGTTTGAACTGAAGGATGGATAGTGAGGGAGCGAGCAGCGTGTCTTTAAGAAAAATAGGAGGGAGGGCCCTTGACGTGACATGGGCTGACATGGTGACATAACAGACGCTCGGTGTGGTTTGAGCTCTTTATCATAGCATTTTTCACACAAAGCATTTAATTAAAAAAAATCAGTAAACAAGTTCTCAGCTTCTTTTTGCAGAGAAAACAACTTTTTACACGAAGGCACATGTTTCAATCATGAATTTTGGAGCTTCGATAAGACGGATTTTTTTCCGAGGTCGGACTGTTAGCTCGTAGCTTAGCTTCTCTGCGTAGTTGCTTTTAACGATTAAAAAAACGTGATTTTGGACAGTTAAAACAGATTTTAAAGAGAAAGGGAGGAGTCAGTGAAGAGCACCGGAGATGAGCCTTTTGTCATCCAGTGTCTTCAGTAAAAAGAGAGAGACGGGAAGAAACGATAAAGCTGATAAATGAAAATGAGATTGATAATTTTCATTTATCATGCGATTAATTGATTTATTGTTTATCGTGACAGGCCTATCCACATGTATACAGGATAAAGAATCACCCACGCCTGTCTGGAGTCTGGTCGACTAGGCCGGCGGCGCTCTTCTTTGTAATGAAAATAATAAATAAAATCCTCGATTTAGGCGTCCTACAGGGAAAAGATGCCTTTAAAGAATTGCTATAAAATGAACAGTCATTTTAAAAAGTTTTGGAAAACTAAGAGCTCTTAAGAAGAAAAAATGGAAAGAAAAACATCACCTAAATTTCATAATTTTGTTTGGCTGGGGTAGCTTCAAAAGACTAATTTATTTATGGTGGATAGAAGAAGAATAAAAAAGTAATTTTCAGCAGTTGGTGGTCGATTTCTTTCCTCCCAGGAACAGTTACTGTCAGAAAGTCATACAAATATTTGAGAGTTAAGTCACAGAAATTTATCACATCTGAAGAGCGAAATATTTTGTTATTTGATAGCCGATTTGACACGCTCCGTATTCCATATCAAGTGACGTATTGGCCGAATGCCCTTTTCTGATTTAGCAGCTAAATCAGTCAAATCCCAAAACTGATGACATAAAGTTGTTTTAAATTTAAGATCCAAATAGAATGTATAAAGTTATAGAAGCAGTTGAATTTAAGTAAAGTGTTTTGTGTTGTCATCATTGTATATTCCCATACAATGATGAAATTAGTCTCTGCATTTAGCCCATCACACCTGGGCTGCACCCAGGTGGAGCAGTGGGCAGCTACGTAGGTGCACAGGGAGCAATTGGGTAAATAAGCAGTTTATTAAGTTTTCAGCAGTGGTGCGCGCAGCTAACTAAAAAAATAGCTTCACTAAACTACTAAACAGGTAAAAAATAATAATAATTAGCAGAAGCTAATGCTAAACCGCTAACCACTAAGACGACTGTCACTCAGACAGTGTCCCACGTCTTTGCCTCCTTCCAGTTGAAGCAGCGTCGACCAATCACGTCACATGTACATGTAGTCAGCCAATAGCGAGCCTACTCTTCGAGACACGTCCACAACAGACAGGAACAAGCTTGTGAATTTTGTTAGCGGACTTAAAGTTGACGAACCATAATTTAGCGGGAGCTAATTCCGCTAACGGTTTCCAAAGTTAGCTAAAATGTTAATTGGCTAAACAAAAAAATTAGTTCAGCCCCCCTTTGCTTTTCAGACTTTACAACAGAAATAATTTTAATTTGTTGTTAAATTGAGAGATGAGGTTAAAAAAAAAAAGTAACCAGATTAAAACGTTGAAATGGAAAGTTTCAGTTACGTATTCTTATATCGCATATCTGAATTCTGTCAGAATCCATAAAGCACCAACCCCCCACCCCATTAAAACTAAAGCTGGCTCAAAAAGATAACTAACAAATCGACAGGCTCAAGACAAACCCCAAACAAGAGGAATAAAATGTTTAGGTACAAAATCCAACAATCAGACGGTGCTGTCAAACTCACAGGGCGCCCAGCCACCAGAACCAGACAGCTGCAGCTGGATCAGATGATCCCGGCAGTCGAGTTCTATCCGAGTCTCCAGTTTGATGCTCTGCTCTAAAGCTGGAGCGAGAAATGAAACGAGAGCCGCTGCCGCCACCTCTAAATCCTTCAGCGGCTGAGAGGAAAACAGAGGAAAGTACAGCTCGTATGGGGATCATGGGTCGGTAGGGATGAAAGAGAGTGATCTGATCCGCAGACAGGCAGACAGACAGGCAGCTGCGATCTCCGGACACGCCTTCCTTCGTTCCCAGACCAACAGCGAGTAAAGAGCAGAGAACTGGAGAGGGAACGTACAGGAACGAGAATAAAACGTCAGGACTTGTAACTTTAGTCACAAAGCTTCAGTCTCTGCTGTCATAATGAGGACAGGGTGGAAGTTCATTTCTACAAAACTGTTACCCTGCGTATCTTTGAGGTTTCATCATTTATGACACAAGACCCCTGCTGAGCCTGGATGTTGGTAAGTTCAAAAATGAGACATTAAAAACCAGAAACACGTTTGTATTTCCGTTCTTTTTACAACATTGTTCTGGCTTCCATTCATTTCTGCAGCACAAACCTGACCCGCACACAAAAAATTACCATTACCAGTACACACTAACCCTCTAACCTAATCCAAAAAGTAGGTCCCACCATATCAGAACCGGGAGGTCTGTGGTAATCCTGAGGTTGCAGGTTCAAGTCCATGTTGTGTCAGGAAGAGTATCTGATGAGAAGTCGAGCAGTCAAAAGAAACAACAATCATATTAGAAGTGGGCTTTAGCTCCCTTTAGGACTACTGGTCCTGACAAGGTAGGCGATTATACCAGAAGAAACCCTACACCAGGCTTGCCCACACTTTTTCATCATGCGAGCACGTTAAAGTGGTCTGCTTGCTATAAGACCCCGTTTACATGAGAACAACCTCTGGAAACAGTGGTTTTTTATGTTTATTGGGGGTAATGAACATAAAATTAGCGGGTTTACACAAAACGCTGTAGTTTCTATGTCAGTCAGGTTGCCAGATAAGAAATTATGAACTATAGTACTGTCGCTTTAAAATTATAGTATTTTGACCTAAACTGTCATATGTGCTGAGTAAAGATATTTTAAGATGATGTGTGAGTAGTGTTTGTTGAACATGTGCACATAAAAAGGGGGTAAATAAGACAGTTTAAATTTATCTGGCAACCCTCATTGTGCGTGCAGCGTCAGTATGACAGTTACGTCCAAACTCATGAATACACTAACGTCTCTTTGGACCCTGGATTTTATTACTTTTGCTCCTACATGCTGAAAAAGGGTGAGTAGCACAAAAAACACTCTGTTCTGCCATTTATTATAACTGTTGTTAGTGCAGAAAAACTTCTGACAGCAACCACCTGTAGCGCGCATGTGCGACTTCACTTGCCGAGCATTTCACATCCTCCAAAAACCTCCACTCAGAGATCTGGATTCAGAAACCTTCTGTTTCAGAGAGAATGAGGCCTGCTGTCGTGTAAATGAACGGACAAACCGCAGCAGAAACCCTGCAGTTTCACGTCATGTAAACAAACGGGGCCTCAGACTGGCAGCCCTGTATGTCAATCAAGTGATGAATTTCATGGTGAGGATGGATGAGGCTGATGTCTATTTTTATTTAT